GCCAGACAAGCGGGTGCTATTGAAGGCAGCAAAACAGAAAAGCATAGGAAATGAAAAGCTTTTAAAAAATCTTCCTTGATTGGCCAGGCACGGTGGCTCGCGCCTATCATCCCAACATTTTGGGAGGCCGAAGGGGGGTGGATAACTGTGGTCAGGAGTTTGAGACCATCCTGGCCAACATGGTGAAACCCCGTCTTTACTAAAAATACAAAAAAAAAACACACTAGCTGGGCACGATGGTGCGTGCCTGTAATGCCAGCTACCTGGGAGGCTGAGACAGGAGAATCACTTGAACCTGGGAAGTAGAGGTTGTAGTGAGCCGAGATCGCGCCACAGCACTCCAGCCTGGGGAACAGAGTGAAACTCCATCTTAGAAAAACAAACAAACAAACAAAAGAAAAACTTCCTTGATTACCTTAAAAGACCTCCCCTTTGGGGTTTCTGTAGCACCTATAATGTGTTTGACTAAATATCTACATATATGGGTGATAGGTTGAAAAGAGTCCCAGGCAGCTAACCTCACCTCATTCTGTGGCTACGAATGGGATCCTGGATGGCCACCCGCCATCTTGTCCATGTGTGATCTTGAACACAAGAGGGTCCGAGCAGGAGAGTATGGCTGGATTTGGATCAATCCATACCCATAATTGGAGCCCAAGAGGTTATGTGAAAGAGAGGAAAAATGTAGGATACTTAGAATACTCAACCTAGGGTTTGGTCATGATTTTTCCCCTTCTTAGAAGTATAACCTTGCATAAAACACACTCTCACCAAACTCCAGCTCTTCACCTAAAGGACAGAGCAAGCACCACCTTCCTCCAGGGAACACTTCGAGGAGCAGAAAAGGTCACAAAAGCACAGAGGAAATAGTCTGACGAGTACTGGCCACTTTCCATGCATTAGCCCTTACAACAACTACCATTATAGATAAGGAACAGAGGCAAATAGTTTGCCGGATGATCACACAGCTAATAGGCAGCCAAGCAGAACTTGAGTTGATGCAGTTGTGTTCTGGAGCCCACACTCCTTAATTTTATACTGTTTATATCAAGATAGAAACTAGCATGATGCCTGGCACATTGTAGGTGATCAGTAAAAGGTTAGCCCTTTCCTTTGGTCTCTCTTAAACATACAGGATTATGCTGAGAAGTTGACAGAAAAGTATATGTGAAGGTTCTCTGAAAACCATGAAGTCTAATAACCATTTTTTAAAAAAAAAAACAGCTTTATTGAGATATAACACACATGCCATACAATTCACCTATTTAAGTTGTACAATGCAGTGGGTTTTCTTACAACTTAACAGAGTTGTGCAACCAACACCACAATCCATTTTAGAATATTTTCAAAAAGAAGCCCCATGCCTTTTAACCATAATTCCCCCATCTCCACCCACCCTGGCCCTGGATACCCTGAATCTACTTGCTGTCTTTATGCATTTGCTTATTCTGGACATTTCATTTAAATGGAAACATAAAACACATGGTCCTTTGTGATGCCTTCTTCCCACTCAGCACTGTTTCCAGACTCATCCGTGTTGTGGCAGGCCTCAGAACTCTGTTCCTTTTTATTGCCAAAGAATATTCTATTGACATTCCATGTATCTACTTGCTCCATAGACTGTTAGACTGAGAAATAACTTTATGGAGACTGAGCACAAATACCCCTCATTTCACTGAAAAAGAGACTGTGTCTAAGAGGCTACGCAGCCTAGCCAAGGTCACTCAGCTCAGAGCCCAGCCTTGAGCCTTACAACTCTCCACGCGGTCCCATCTTACTTCACCCCTCAGAGCATTATTGGAAACATAACAAAGTGCACAGCTGATTGATGATGGGCCAGCAGAATCATCTCTGCCAATATTAGCCCAACATCATTCATTCACCAAATAATGTAGACTGCCCACTGTGTGCAGGGCACTGTAGGAGGTGCTGAGGACCCCAGAGGGAACAGGACAAGATCTCTGCCCTTCTTCTCAGAGTGTACACTTTCCTGAGGAGGCAGAAATAGGTCAGCAGCTCCCTAGATAATAAGATCATTGCTTGTTGTACTAAGTGCCATGAAAGAAACAAGGGGCAGAGGAGGAGAAGAATGTGGGGGAGGGTGGCATTGGCAGGGAGAATGGGGTGGGGATGAAAGGACCTCGTGCACAGAGTGTCACAGGTTACTGGGGAGGGCCTCTTTTAGGACATTTAGGCTGAGGCCTGGAGGAGAAGGACGTTGTGAATATCCAGAGGAAGAAGGTCCCAGAGAGAGAGCATTGCATGCGCAAAGATCCCAGGAAAACAGGGAAAGTTTGAAGTTTAATAGGAGCAGAAAGACAGAGCGAGCAAGTGGTGTGACTGAAGGCTCGAGAGAGCAGAGCCCACCTTACAGTGGAGGCCCACTGGCCTGTTCCCTCATGGCTACACTCTCAGAGCTAACTATTCCTAGGAGGACCTGTGAGAAAGTGCATCAGTGGCTTCCAGTTCCTTCCTGTGAATTAAATAAACTCCACTTGCCACAGGAAGCTAGAGGAAGTCCTGAGTCTCTATAGCAAAGACTTCTAAGGAAGGGAGAATTGCATCTTAGGTAAGGGTGATAAAACTATGTATCATCCTGGGGGTGAATCAGGAGATGAGGAAAGCAAAGAGAAATAAGAAAATACAGGCATATTAACAGAGAAGTGGTTAAACAATTATGGTATAGCTACATAATGGAACACAATTCAATTGGCAAGAAGAAAGAAGTTCACTCTTTCTGTACTGATGTAGAAAGATCTCCAATTAGTTAAGAAACAAAAAAAAAGCAAGGGCAGAACTGTGTGCTCAGTGCATTACCATTAGTATGAGGTAGTATGTCTTTTGCAATATACGCATACAAGCTCTCTAGAAAGGATACACACACAAAGTGTCTAGGAGGGGTTTCCTTGTTTCTGTATCCCCCAGGAGATGTGCACTCCAGAAGGGAGCTTTTCACTATCTCCTCTGCTATTTGGAAACATGGAAGTATATTTCCTATTCAAAGAAACTAAATTAAAAATGAAAACAGGCCTGGATGCAGTGGCTCACGCCTGTAATCCCAGCACTTTGGGAGGCTGAGGCAGGCGGAGCACAAGGTCAGGAATTCGAGACCAGCCTGACCAACATGGTGAAACCTCCGCCCCGTCTCTACTAAAAATACAAAAAAATTTAGCCAGGTGTGGTGGTGCATGCCTGTAATCCCAGCTACTCAGGAGGCTGAGGCAGGAGAATTGCTTGAACCTGGGAGGCAGAGGTTGCAGTGAGCCAAGATCGCGCCACTGCACTTCAGCCTGGGTGACAGAACAACATTCCACCTCAAAAGAAAAAAAAAAAAGAAAACAAAGAAAAGGCAATGAGGGGTCTAGATCTACCAACCAAAGCCCTGTGTGTTCCAGCCTCTCCTGCCCCTCGGCCTCTGCCAAGCTGAACCTCCGAGATGCCCCCTCATCCTCCTAGGGAACTACTGGGCAGCCACTGGTTCCTGGTCTAGATTTCACTCCTACTCGTAATGATGGTTCTGATGGTCTAGTGAACAAATAAATTATCCCGAAGAGTCTAGAATTAATTCCAATTCCCAAATGTGAACTATCAAAGCACCTCTCTCAAGAGGGCACCCGAGGGTGAATAAACAAGTTAATAATTATCAAATGAATACTGGATTCCAATTAAGTGTCCAGCACCTTGGGAGTGTCAATCAGTGTGAATGAGGAGAGTGTGACTCTGTAACTCACAGTCCTTTCCCTCCATCTCCAGGTTTCTCAACCTGGGTGCTGCTGACTCTCTGGGCTGGAAAATTCTTTGCTGTGGGGGCTGCCCTGTGCATTGTAGGATGTTAGCAGCATCTCCAGCCTCTACCCACCAGATGCCAGTAGCACCCACCCCCCTAGCTGTGACAACAGAAACTGTCTTCAGAGATTGCCAAATGTCCCCTTTGGAGCAAAATCACCCCCAGTTGAGAACCACTGTTCTCATCACTGCATTTCCAGGTAACAGCTTCATTCTCCCCACATCAGGAGCTGGCGATCACCCCTCTGCCTGTACCCCAGGTGGGTTGCCATAGAGGCTGAGGGATTGACGGAACCTTCATTGCGAGGGAGTTCCTTTAGTTTCATATGTGGCAACCAGTCCTAACTCCCTGGGAACCTCTTCTGTCTCAGGGAAAGTAGCAATCTCAGATTTTATAAAATAACCATCTGTGGATAGAAGTCTCTCCCACAACTAGAAGGCCCAGACAATTAAAAGGCACCCCTGGCCGGGCGCGGTGGCTCAAGCCTGTAATCCCAGCACTTTGGGTGGCTGAGACGGGTGGATCACGAGGTCAGGAGATCGAGACCATCCTGTCTAACACAGTGAAACCCCGTCTCTACTAAAAAATACAAAAAATTAGCCAGGCGTGGTGGTGGGCGCCTGTAGTCCCAGCTACTCGGGAGGCTGAGGCAGGAGAATGGCGTGAACCCCGGAGGCAGAGCTTGCAGTGAGCCGAGATCCGGCCACTGCACTCCAGCCTGGGTGGCAGAGCGAGACTCTATCTCAAAAAAAAAAAAAAGGCACCCCTGTGCAGGTTGATAACAAAAGCAGAACACACACAGGGTGGCCAGATTCCAGTCTATGGCACCCCAAGACTGCAGGGATGAGGGAGCCTGGGGGGGTGAATACCATTTCCTCCTGTGATTATTTTCCTACAGGTGACAGAAAGAAAGGAGCGAGGCACCGTGAAGGTGCACTCAGGGTCATTTTGTAACCAACAGGGTGGACAGGTAGGTGAGCCGGCCGGTGTCTCTCCTTCCTTTCCCAAGGACGTAATTCCCAATGGACAACTTTATTTGGAAGGCAAAGAAAAAGGGACTGTATTTCTATGTTTTGATTAATCTGAGGCTCATCCCTGAGGGCTCTGCAAAATGAATGAGCAGAATTTTCCATGGCCAACTGTCCTGGCTGCCGGGTCCTATCGGCAAAAGCGTAGTGTTTATTTACTTTTGCTCATGTTATTTTTATTCCAGTTCAGCTGCAGCTCAGTGCGGAAAGCGTGGGGGAGGTGTATATAAAGAGTACCGAGACTGGCCAGTACTTGGCCATGGACACCGACGGGCTTTTATACGGCTCAGTAAGTATGAAGCTGACATGCTTCCAGACGTGGCCAAGGTTTGAGGTTTCCAGAAATCTTGTTACATGGAGTGAGGCAAACTATAAAGCAACAATTAGTCTCTGTTTGTTATTTTTTCCAGAAGGATTCCCACCCTCACCCTGCTTTATTTTAGACACAAACATAAAAGAGTTTCTTGTGGTATTCTCTTAAAACACTGAAATGTATTATCATATAAACACAGAGGAAAGATTGATTGATGTTTTGGTAACTCTTCAGTCACTCATTTTAGAATATCTAATCCCATTCCATTCATTCATTCATTCATTCATTCATTCATTCCAAAAATGTTTTCTTTCTTTTTTTTTCTTCGAGACAGGGTCTGGCTCTGTCGCCCAGGCTGGAGTGCAGTGGTGCAATCATGGCTCACTGAAGCCTCGAACTCCTGGGCTGAAGCGATCCTCCCACCTCAGCCCCCCGAGTAGCTGGGACTACATATGAATACCACCATGCCCGGCTAACATTTTTATTTGTTGTAGAGACAAGGTCTTGCTATGTTGCTGAGGCTGGTCTCGAACTCCTGGGCTCGAGTGGCCTCGGCCTTCCAAAGTGCTGGGATTATAGGCCACCACACACAGCCCAAAAATGTTTCTTGAGTACCTAGGTACTATGTGCTATAGGGGTGTCTCTTATTGCTTTTTTCACAAATGGCGGAGCTTGGGCTTTTGTAGTTTATGTGTCATGCATAAAACTTTGAAAATAGCCCCTTTTATTCTGAAAGGATCACCTAAAAGGATAGAAAGCTTAATAACTAATTCAACATTTATCAAATGTCTCCTGTGTCTAAGTGCCATGTTAGGTACTGAAAGGATGTGAGGATGAATGAACCGCATGGAGAGGCGTAGTCTAATTGTTTCTTCAGTAGCTAAAATCCTCCATGTTCCCTGCCCTCTCCCTATCATAGCTAATGCTTTATACAGGTTTGACCGTGTATAGATAGGTCTTTATGGGAAAGGAATAGAAATAGAGGCAATGTGATTTTGCCCCTATTGGTATCTCTGTGACCGGAGTTAACTGGAGAGACAGCTTAAACCAATGACTGAAGGTTTTGAAGTTATTTCTAGATTTTAATGATCCCTCCTCTGTATCCTAACAATTGATAAACTAAGGCTTGGCTGTAATTCTTAGCCCAATCCATACCCCTTTCCTCCCTTGTATGAAGATGTCTTCAAAAAGACAGCCAGTAGGGGGAATTTTAGTCTGGAGCTTTACCTTATATCAAATTGCCAAGTGACAGAGGGCACAGGAAACCCTCTCTTGAAGTTGTCATCTCAGCCAAGGGTCCAGATGTGAACACAGTTTCGTTTCCTCTCACTGCCCACTAGGGATCAGGAGATGAAATCATCAGGGTAATAGGCAACGTCTAAAACGCTATGTGCTCAGTACAGATCACCTGGGACGGCTTTAAGGGGTTTGGGAGTAGGGGTTTAAGGTAGTTCTTCCAGGTGGTAGCAAAATCAATCCATCAGCCAATCGTTCAGTCTCAGACTCATGATTGAATCTCATGCCTCTGCCACTCTGGCAAGTCACTTACCCACTCTGAGCCTTGTCCAAAATGAGGACGGTCATGGATCATAACCGCCTCACACAGAGCGTACATGAGTTCAGTGGCGCAACACACAGAACGCGCCCATCAGAGTGGCTGGCACGTCACAGACCAGTGGTGGCTGTAAGACAAGTCAGCGTAGAAGCCCCTCACCCTCACTGTATCTTAGGTTATGCCACAGTTTTATGGCTTTTCCCCCTTTAAATCAATTTTGATGTTTACTGTAACCTGCTTTCACTTATAGAAAAATATTGAGGGAGAACTCCCAGGATCCAACTTCCGATACGCTCCAGGCACCCCCTTCTCCCACCATAACCGTGGCCACCACTGCAATTCACCTGAAATATGATCTTAGTATATGACAGCTAAGAATGTTTGCATTTTCCCCATTGATAAAGAGAAGTTCTAAGATATCTCAAAGCTCTGCTTCATGCTCTTCACAAAATTTAGGCACTAATCCATCCTGATTCAAACTTGTGTGTGTGCAAAGGATATATATATTTTTTAAAGTTTGAAAGGCTATATATCAAAATATTGGGGGTGGAGAATGGGTGATTTTATAATATGTGAATAACTTCCTGTATTTTCCAAATTTTTTTTACAGTAAGTATATGTCACCTATGTAACTTGGGGTGGGAGGGGAAACATGCTAAATATAAAAAAGAAGACAATTTAAACAATAGGCATGAATCAATAGTTAACCCACATGTCTTCGGCATTGTACCAAGTGCATAACGAGTGCTGACAAATCCTGGTGGAGGGACGGAGCACCGCTGATCTGGCCTGCTGACTCAGCCTGTGACTCAGCTATTTTGTGTGTGTCAACTGCTCCAATGTAATAGAGACATCAGGTGGGGAATGTGGCCATCCTCACCTTCGTCACAGAACGCAGGCCTGATGCCCACTATGAGGTGTCAGGGGTGAGTCCTCTCTACAAGGGAGTGGGCAACCCACATTGGTCCAAGCTGTCTACTTCCTTCTACCCCCAACAATGTGCATCAAACACGAATGTCTGGACCAAGTTCCTCTAGAGGCAGCAGAGTCATCCAATAAAATATATTTATATCTCATCTTGTTCCCAAATGATCTAAAGTGTCTCACCCTGTTGTCATTTCACTAGATTATGAATGAATAAGAAGCAGGATACTTCCTGTTACACAATTCCTTACTAAGAAAGGCTGACTTTCCTGACTGCTTTGTATTATCTCAAGAATCAAATTAAACGCATTACTTAGCTGGTGAGCACCTATTATTTGCAAGGCTCTGTGTCTGGGGGTGGAGAGAAGACCAACAAGATTCCATCTCCTTCCTCACTAGTGTTTATAATCTAAAGACACAAACATAGAGAACAATGAACAACATGATTGGAAACCGCCAGACAGTGATTGGAAATCACCAACCACAGTGGGTGAAGAGAGACTGCAGGGGTCACACGACTTGAAAAAGGCAAAGCAGGCCGGGCGCGGTGGCTCAAGCCTGTAATCCCAGCACTTTGGGAGGCTGAGATGAGTAGATCACGAGGTCAGGAGATCGAGACCATCCTGGCTAACACGGTGAAACCCCGTCTCTACTAAAAAATACAAAAAACTAGCCGGGCGAGGTGGCGGGCGCCTGTAGTCCCAGCTACTCGGGAGGCTGAGGCAGGAGAATGGCGTAAACCCGGGAGGCGGAGCTTGCAGTGAGCCGAGGTCCGGCCACTGCACTCCAGCCTGGGCGACAGAGCGAGACTCTGTCTCAAAAAAAAAAAAAAGAAAAAGAAAAAGGCAAAGCAAAGTCAGATGTCTCAGTTCCCAGCTTAAGTGTTTTAATATACCTGTTTTAGACCCAAATGCAATAAATATATTCTAAGATCTTGACGAATAGAAAGTTCAAAAACTGAGTTGCCCCTCCACCAACAGATTAACTACAAGTAAGCAAAATAGTGGTTGCTGGGTTTTTTCAAGTAACTGCACTCTTTAATATGTTGTGGCTGATTTTCAACTTAATAAATGTACAGCTGCACTAGATTCTACTGTACGGATATTCTTTTATCCACTTAACCAATCACCTTTCCATGGACATATAGGTTACTCCTAATCGCTTGCCCCTAAAACCATTGGTTCAGAGACCATCCTCAAAAATACAACTGTACACTTACTCAGCCGTCTCCTAGGGGTGGATTCCTAGAAGTGAAAGTGCTGAGTCAAAGGTAATACATCTTGTAAATTTTGATACATATTGCTAAACTGTCTTCAGAAAGTTGCCACTAATTTTTCTCGCCAACTGTACGTGGCAGTGCCTAGTTCCCACATTCTAAGTCTTACAAATTTTTTTATCTTTGTGCAAATGTTTTTTTTAATCTTTGCACATAGGATAGCTAACATATGATACATAATTTTTAATTTGCATTTTTCTCATTAGGAATATTGAATGTTTTCATAGATTTGTTGTTCATTTTTAAAACATCAAATAAAACATGACATTTTGATGATATCATAAGTATATATCCATATAGCCTTATCTAGTCTGTATGTACATAAAGAGATGTCGGGGAGGATGCTCATCAGCGATTAACAGTTGCCTATATCTGGGTGGTGGGTTTTGGGATAGTGTTTTTTTTACAAAGTAAAGATATGTTTTTAAAAGTACAATTCTTCTTGTAAGTAGCATTTTTATTACCCTTTAGAGACAGGGTCTCGCTGTGTCACCCAGACTAGAGTGCAATGGTACAATCATAGCTCAGTATAGCCTCAAACTCCTGGGGTCGAGCAATCCTCCTACCTCAGCCTCCTAAGTAGCTAGGAGGACAGGCACACACCATGGCATCTAGCTAATTTAAAAAAAAATTTTTTTTTGTAGAGAATGGGTCTTGCTATGTTGCCCACACTGGCCTCAAATTCCTGGGCTCAAGCAATCCTCCTGCCTCAGCCTCCCAAAGTAGTGTGATTACAGGCATGAGCCACTGTGCCTGGCCACAAGTAGCATCTATTTATAAGATTCTTTTTATAACTAGCAAAAAATAAAGCTATTTTCATTTAAAAAAACATTTACATTCTAGGATATGTTTCATGCTTAGGATAAATTTTGCACAAGCATATCTTCATACAATACACAGGCAAAATCCTGACATTGCTAGTGAAAATCACCAGGATAAAAAGGCATTTTAGCAGCTTTGTATTTATTCTTTAAGTCTAGTCTTCAAGTTAAAACAACAACAACAACAACAACAAACCCACTACATCACAGTCTGGTTTTTACTTATTTTGAATGTTTTTCCATGGTCATGCCTGTGTGCCAGGCCACTACAGAGATGAAAGATCCAGCCCTGCCCTCAAGGTACTTGTAGTCAAGCAGGATGTCCCCATGGGAGATTCTAGAGTCCTGAGGACTCTTAGAAGTGCTCTTATCAGTCGCATCTTTATTACTTTAAAATGGATTTTAAATGGAAAGGGAGTTTACAATAACAGCAAATGCATACTGAAGGCTCTTTAGTGCCAGGTGCTGTTCTAAGTCCTTAAGACTACCCTGTGAAATAAGGTCCACCATGACCCCAATTTTCCTGAAGAGGAGACTGAGGCAGGGAGAGCTTTAGTATTTTGCCCAATGTCACACAGCTAGTAAATGGGGACTCCCATGTGAAACCACTCACTAATTGTCCTACTCTCTTTTGGTTTTATCTTTTTAGCAGACACCAAATGAGGAATGTTTGTTCCTGGAAAGGCTGGAGGAGAACCATTACAACACCTATATATCCAAGAAGCACGCAGAGAAGAATTGGTTTGTTGGCCTCAAGAAGAATGGAAGCTGCAAACGTGGTCCTCGGACTCACTATGGCCAGAAAGCAATCTTGTTTCTCCCCCTGCCAGTCTCTTCTGATTAAAGAGATCTGTTCTGGGTGTTGACCACTCCAGAGAAGCTTCGAGGGGTCCTCACCTGGTTGAACCAAAAATGTTCCCTTGACCATTGGCTGCGCTAACCCCTAGCCCACAGAGCCTGAATTTGTAAGCAATTTGCTTCTAAATGCCCAGTTCACTTCTTTGCAGAGCCCTTTACCCCTGCGCAGTTTAGAACAGAGGGACCAAATTGCTTCTAGGGGTCAACTGGCTGGCCAGTCTGGGTCTGGGTTTGGATCTCCCATTGCCTCTTGCAGGCTGAGTCCCTCAATGCAAAGGCGGGGCCAAATGAAGTGTGTTAAGGGGTCTGCTGAGTCATTAGTAACTGCACACTATTTCCCTCTACTGAGTAAACCCTGTCTGTGATTCCCCCAAACATCTGGCATGGCTCCCTTTGTCCTTTCTATGCCCTGCAAATATTAGCAAAGAAGCTTCATGCCAGGTTAGGAAGGCAGCATTCCATGACCAGAAACAGGGACAAAGAAATCCCCCCTTCAGAACAGAGGGATTTAAAATGGAAAAGAGAGATCGGATTTTTGGATTGGATAACTTAGAAGGATGACATCTCCATGCAGAATACATGAAGAAAGGGAGGCCCAGTGGCAGGAAGGCAGAATAAATCCTTGGGAGTCATTAGCATGCTTTGAGCTTCCCAGGGTTACTCAGCAGCAGAGAGCCCTGGGTAACTACAGGTGGAGAGCACTAGAAGTGGTTTCTTGGTAACAAGCAAGGACATCAGAGCTGGGAAATTCATGTGGATCTGGGGACTGAGTGTGGGAGTGACGAGAAAGAAAGGGAAACTGTCTGAGGGGATATCATAAAAAGAGGATGATTTCAGAAGGAGAAGGAAAGAGAAAGTAATGCCACACATTGTGCTTGGCCCCTGGTAAGCAGAGGCTTTGGGGTCCTAGCCCAGTGCTTCTCCAACACCGGAGTGCTTGCAGATCATCTGGGGACCTCGTTTGAAGGGAGATTCTGATTCAGTGGGTTGGGGGCAGAGTTTCTGCAGTTCCATCCAGTCCCCGGGTGCAGGTGCTGACGATACTGCTGCCTTACCCGCCATACGTAAAGGAGCAGGGTCCTGGTCCTAAAGAGCGTTATTCAGCTGAAGGTGGTTCAACTCGCCGAACCTCACCTGACCTCAACTCACCCTTAAAAACGCACACCTCATGAGTCTACCTGAGCAGTCAGGCAGCACTGACAGTAGTTATACCTGTACTAAGGAACATGATTTTAAGATGCTTTGGCCCAATGCCTATAAAATGCCCCTTTCAAAGATACACAAAAACATACTTCAAAAATGTTAAACCCTCACCAACAGCTTTCCCAAGAGACCGTTTGTATTACCATTACTTGTATAAATACGCTTCCTTCTTAAACTTGACCCAAGTGGCTAGTAAATTAGAAACACCATTCATCTCTAACATATGATACTGATGCCACGTAAAGGCCTTTAATAAGCCATTGAAATTTACTGTGAGACTGTATGTTTTAATTACATTTAAAAATATATAGCTTGAAAGCAGTTAAACTGATTAGTATTCAGGCACTGAGAATGATAGTAATAGGATACAATGTACAAGCTACTCAATTATCTGATACTTACATTTACCTATAAAATGAGATTTTTGTTTTCCACTGTGCTATTACAAATTTTCTTTTCAAAGTAGGAACTCTTGAGCAATGATAATTGTGAATAAAAATTGATGAGAGTGTTAGCTCATGTTTCATATGAAATTGAAGTAATTGTTAACTAAAAACAATTCCTTAATAACTGAACTGTCATATTTAGAATGGAAGGAAAATGACAATTTGTTCAAAGCATAGTGCAATTGAAGAATTGACCTAAGTAAGTTGACATTATGGTTAATAATAGTATTTTAGATTTGGGCAGCAAAATGATTTCATAACATTTTTGTTTTTGTTACTTGGATAAGATCAATCTGTTTTATTTTAGTAAATCTTTGCAGGCAAGTTAGAGAAAAAGCAGTGTGGCTTAACGTCTCTTTAGTATGAAGATTTGACCAGAAAAAGATACCCAGAGAGGAAATCTAAGATAATTATAATGGTCTATACTTTTTATTGTATGAATCAAACTCAAGCATAACATTGGCCAAGGAAAATTAAATGCCATTGCTAACATGTGAAATGGAAGTCTGTGATTTCAGAGATGCAAAGCATTGTAGTAAAAACACCAATGTGACCTCGACCACCTCAACCCAGATACCATTCATATATCTGTTCAATGACTATTAAGTTGCCTACTTTGTGCTAGGCACTGTACTGGATACTGGGGACCTTGTCTGTCTGGTTTGCTGCTGTATCTTCTCCTAGGGCATTATATTTATGAAGAAAGATGCTGTGGATTCAATTCTTTCAGTCAAGAATAAACGCAGACTTTGTAGGTTCCTGCTGAATAAACAGCAAATCCCAGAAACCCAGATTTTGGAAGAATCAGCAACCCCCAGCAGAAAATAAACCCCTATCAAAATGTCAGAGGAACTTGGCATTTTCAACTTTAGAACCGTGTCAGCTTCAGGGGGACTGCTTTCAAATCAGCCAAAGAGCCTATCAGATCTAGAAGGAAGAGGTTGGTAGTTCCCTGCTCTGTTTTGAACATGCTCTAGTTCATTAACCTGGGGGCATTCCCATTGCTGTCTTAAGTAAGTCTCATAGCCAGCTCCCGTCATGTGAATTCATTTTCGGGCCAGCTCTGAACAAAGCATCATGAACATGTGTGCCTTTGGTTGTTTGTAATGTGATGGTGGTAGAGGTAGGTACTGGTTTCCTTGGAAAGAATGATAAGAAAGATTCCTATGGCCAACAGTGTGTATGAACAAAAAACTGATTGGAGCATCAGCTGTTACTGAAGGTCCTTGCTTTATGTCAGAGGCAACGGAACCCAAGTCTCCAAGTCCTCAGCCTTGAGTGTACTGCTGACAACTAAATTCACAGGCTGCAAAGCAGACCTCTGATGAAGACGCCTGTCATTTCATATCACTGTCTTTTTGTGTATCATAGTCTGCACCTTACAAATATTAATAAATGTTCCAATAACAGGTGATAATGTCTCTGAGTTTCTGAGCATCCTGTTGCCTCATCTTTCTATCAAAGGACTTCCCTGGCATCCCTGAGGTGTGGCTGCTTAGTTTTCTATACTTACCTTGTTACCAGATGTCAGACTTTAAAAGCTAACAGGGAATGCGAAGGTAGAAACATTTTTCAATGTGTTTGGAAACAGAAGGCAGTATGGGTGATCTCCTACATTTCTGTTAGGGTAATATACATATACAGGAAATCTGCCTCCTGAGGAGTCAGGCACCACAAATAACTCAGGTGAAACTTTTTCTTCTTAACATAAACCATGTAAAATTATGCTACTATTGTTGAGGTGACTGGCTGGTGCTTAGGCAAAGATATGATATGACCTGAAAACAACAACAACAAAAACCATTTAAGGACTTACTTACAATTTTAAGTCAATGGCAAGAGGGTGAATCTCTTCATCTTAAGAGCCCTGATGTGGAGCCGTAGATGTGCTTCTCAGATTTTCTAAATTATCATTCTGAGCAGTATTTCCTTAAATAAACCTCTGGATCTTATGACATCCTTAGGAGGAAGTATGCTGCTGCCTAGCACAGCATATGGAATCAGACACACAGATGCACACGCATCGTCTAAGGAAAAAGATGGACAGTGTGTGCTCACTCTACTAATTACATACTACAATATTGATATACCACACTCAATCCCTTCTTTCCCTTCTAAAGTTGCATAAAGCAATGTTTTCTACTTTTTGGATCTTGTTCCACCATAAGAACTACATTTTCCATTACAACCTGGCACATACATACTGTTATACATATATACCACTGAAACAAAAATTTCACAAAACTAGATGAGAGGCACTTTGATTTTGCTGTTACATTCCACTAAAACATCATTTAACTTGGTTCACAACATTCATGGGTCACAACTGCAGTTTGAAAAACACTGACTTAAAGCAACTGTTCTTCCCAAAGATGGCGAGACCCAATGAGTATCTTGTGTTAAGACTTTAGTGTTTTCAAAGACACAGTTTGTTCTTGAGTAAACAAGACAAGAGGACATCCTGTTACCCAGGAACCATCTGTTTTGAAGGCTCCGTTAATTCTTTTAGCCTGATTTGCTGCTAATCATGTAAAATGAATGTAATGGAACAGATTCCATGGGCGCCCACTGCTGCCTCCAAGGCTGGTCTAGCAGATTTTTCTGCTCTTGGAAGCCCTGGAGACTTTGACACCCTCCCCATCCTTTGGAATTCTCATCACGTTGGGTCTTGAGGTCGTTCCCTCCCTAACTCCCACAGTCTTCACTTCATTCCTCTCTGTTGCCTCCCCAACCCCCAACAATTCCTAGTTCTTAACCACTTCTAATAAAAACATAAAAAGCAGATTGAACCAAGAAAAGGCTATAACCTGGGGCCTCTATGCAGCTTCCCCAGCTACTATCACTTTCTGGAAATGATCCTCTCTCACTTCTTATCTACCTTTTAAAAAGTATGCCATTCCTGGCTCAGTCCTAAGCTAAACACCATTGCTGCTGGAATGCAGCTTATACAGGGATCTGCATTTTCCATCTCAGCTGAACCAACTCAACAAAGTAATTCTATGTCTTAAATATTTGGTGGGGTGTGGGTGGCTGAGAATGGACCTCCTGTCAGTGAACTTGACCACAAAGAGAAAAATACAAATATAGTCTTCGCTTTTCATATTTATCTGAGTGATGTCCTATTCATCATGGGATGGGAAGGGAGGAGGAATCTCCAATCCTAAGCACTTTTGGGTTGTTATATTAGCTAGTATGGTAGTAGTAGCTCATCAAACAAAAATGTGCTGTCAACTACACTTCCACAAATTAACAAAAAATATTTTTAGAAGCATTAGTGACAATGTGGAAATATTTAAGCCCAACTGAGCAGCAGGACTTATATGTTCTCCATTTCAAAATGACTAGGGATGATTTGTTTGATGACTGTTAAAACTGAAATAATGGCTAATAAAAAGTGGCACCCCCTCCTTCGAATCCACTCCCTAAAGCTGTCTTCCACCCCCAGGAAAAAACTCCTCTTGCCATTGTACATAAATGTACACTAAAATCGACTCAGAACTCAGAGCTTCAGGTTTGGAGATCTGACACTACGGACTCCAGACCCTAGTGATTCAACTACCATTCTCTCAAGTTACAAGGGAAATGTACTAAATGACTATTGGAATCTTTCTGCAACGTTGGACCCACTTTGTGGTTGACATATTGACCATGACATACTACACTGTTAGCTTTCCACTCTAGTTATAAAATTAAAAAGAGAAACCAGGTCACACACAGCCCGAAGCCAGAGGGTGGGTTTGCTTTATAAAATGCACATATTGTAGGACCTAGCTTTGGGGTCTTCTGATGGTTCTGAGAATGTTTGTGATGTGGGAAGGAGATATTTCCCAAATTGCTTCCTTCCTTCTTAGCTCCCCACTGTCACGCAGGCTATATTTACACATTCAGCAGCTAAACATTGGTGTCTGTTTCATTACATAAACAAGGAAAACCTCACATGTCCTTGATGTGCTTTTCTATCAGCCTTAATGAAGGGTTGGGCATTCCCTGTTTGGAACTGTGTTCAATTTAAGGATTTGGTTCACTTGGCCAAAGTGTTCGGGGATAGAGATGTAAATAGTCAATTTGTGCCAATTGTCACAGAGACACACTTCACTGTGATTTTTACATTTCATGTTTTCTTAGGAAATAATTTTTTTTAGTCTGACCCATAGATACATAAGAATAAGAAGTTGGATTATTTTCAAATATGCCTTATTCTCCAAAACAAGTTGTAGGAACGTATTATATACTAACTTGTATATAATTTGCATGGATTAGAAAACAAGACTGTTCAGAGCCTGGGAATATCAACTGTATTAAGAGTTTAGCCAGTTCCTGTGGAAATGAATAGTAAAATCTATTGCATTCTCAAAATAGAACACCTGCATGAGGGACCGTGCTATTGAAACAGGAAATGGTACAAGTTTTAAGACTGGGCAGACTGTTTCTGCTAATACAGGACAAAATTGCAAATCCAAGATGGTTGTGCAGAAAGAGCACATGAGAGAGAAATACGTTTCCATATCCTTGGTACCACTGAAATCTGCTGTATACTCAATTGAGGTAAAAAAGAGGTAGGCTTTTTTTTTTTTTTTTTTTTTGAGACGGAGTCTTGTACCACCAGGCTGGAGTGCAGTGGCGCAATCTCGGCTCTCTGCAACCTCCGCCTCCAGGATTGCAAGTGATTCTCCTGCCTCAGCCTCCCAAGTAGCTGGAACTACCGGCGCCCGCCACCACACTCAGTTAATTTTTGTATTTTTAGTAGAGACGGCATTTCACCATGTTAGCCAAGATGGTCTCTATCTCTTGACCTCGTGATTCGCCCGCTTCAGCCTCCCAAAATGCTGGGATTACAGGCATGAGCCACTGTGCCTGGCCAAAAAGAGGTAAGTTGTATAGATTGCTTGAAAATGTATAAGAATTGCTTGAACCCAGTAGGTGGAGGTTGCAGTGAGCCAAGATCACACCACTGCACTCCAGCCTGTGCAACAGAGAAGAAAAGAAAAAAAAAAAAAGAAAAGAGAAAACAGAAAACAGAAAAGAGAAAGAGAAAAGAAATGAGAAAAGAGAGAAGAAAAAAGAAAGGAGAGAAAGAGAGAAGAGAGAGAAAGAAACAGAAAGAAGGAAAGAAGGAAAGAAAGAAAGAAAAGAGAGAAGAGACAGGGAGGGAGAAAGAAAGGAAATAAAGAAAAAAAGAAAAGAAAGAAAAAAGAAAAGGAAGGAAAAGAAAGAAGGAAAGAAAGAAAGGAAAGGAAGGACAGGAAGGAGAGAAAGAAAAGAAAGAAAGAAAATGTATAACTCAAAAAAACTTCACTCTGTCACCCAGGCTAGAGGGCAGTGGCGTGATCTTGGCTCACTGCAACCTCCACCTCCTAGGTTCAAGTGATTCTCCTGCCTCGGCCTCTTGAGTAGCTGGGACTACAGACAAGTAGTATCACCATGCCTGGCTAATTTTTGTATTTTTAGTCAGGAATTTGCCATGTTGCCCAGGCTGGTCTCGAACTCCTGACCTCAAGTCAGGAGAGCCCGCCTCAGCCTCCCAAAGTGCTGGGATTACAAGTGTGAGCCACTATGCCCAGCCTATCCATTAACCATCTATTGTCTATATTAGTCAGGGTCCAGTCAGGAGACAGAAACCACACCAATCATTTGAACAGGGGGGACATTTTAATGGAAAGAATTGTTAACTAGTAAAAGGCATTAACTTTAAGAAGGGTAAGGAGATCTCTAAAGAACATTGGAATAGTAGGTGTAGGGAACAACTACTACCTTCCAAGCTGAGGAGAGTTATCAAGGAAGGAACTCACTTGAAAGAAGACATCCTCTCAAGATGAGATTCAGGCTGCATTCGAGATGTGGCCGTGGCCCACTGGATGGTGAAGAATTTCACTGAGGTGCTTCATTCCCACTAGAATGCTGGTGAAACTCTCTGGAAGTTTTCCTGGAGTGCCAGCAAAACTCGCCAAAAGGTGTGCACCAGCAGGTCTCCACAGGGAGCTGCCCAGTGGCCACTGCACCATAGGAGCAAGAAGAAACACAGGAGCAACAAGAAAAGTATAAGAACCCCAGAGAAATGCCCCTTCTTCTGATAGTGTCCCCCCAGCGCCCTCTACTGACAAACGTTACTTCATATCAGCTGGTATAGAAATGTTTTCAGGGTTCAGCTTCAGTATAGCAAAACCATGCAAAGAGTAGATTTGGAGCAGAAGAGCAATAAACTGGTAACTGTCATAAACATGATTTAGATACTATGCTAGATACAGAGTATTCAAAGATGAAAAAAGGTGGTCCTTTCTCTGAAAAAACTTATTATAGTGGTGGAGAAAGTGCTAATTTTTTTGGCTTTATTTCCTTTAAAAAAAAATGATATCTTTCCAAGCCTTCTGAGATTCTCAGAAGAACACTAGGTGTGTTCAAGGTACTATCTTTACA